TGGCTCCAATTAGGTCTATAGAAGTGCTGATTGTGTGTCCAAAACCAGTTTTTTGGAACTTAAAATTTGATGAATGTCCTACATGCTTTAAAATGGATTAAGGCTGTAGATTTTATATCTCAGTATTCATTAAAAAAATTGAAATACTCCAAGAAATGTAGGGTTTGAAATATATGAGCAATCAGAATTCAGGAAATAATGGCATTCTGTTGAGTTTATAACATTAATGTCAATATAAGTGGCAACAGTTTGCAGAACTTGCCTTAAAGACAACCAACTACAGGTATATATTTGAATGTGTGAATTTTTCTTTTGTCTATTTATATTTTTTGTACTTACAAAAAAAGTTAAAAATGTTATTTAAATATATGGTATGCCTTTTATCAGGTACGTATATTATGTTAATATACGTACCTGCTTTTATAATGCAGTCTTCGAAATTAACGCCAGTCCGAGGCCCCACGAGGCCACTTAATTTTTAGCACGGTCCCGGTGATTATTTTTGCAAAAATTGGGTGGTGTCCGAACGGGCCAGTTAGAATTTTTGGACCATGAAAAAATAATTATAAGAAAAATTCATCAAAATAATGAAGCAGGGTTCTCTAAAAAGATTGATCTTTTTGCCTTCTTGCAAATGAAACACATAATTCTGTCCTAAATGTCCAAAAATACAGCGAGAATGTCTAAATTGTATTGGGAAGTAATGAAAGGCCGCCATTTTTTTTTTTGGATATTTTTCCGTACCGCATCGTACAGTTACTGAAAATTAAACCATTGTTTATTATGGTCATTATTTAGCTATGATTTTGTGATTATTTGATTTAAAATAAATATTTTGTGTGAAAGTGATTTGTTTGAAGCAAAATTGCTTTTTTCATGTTCAATTCTAGTAAATTTTTTTGCCCTGAAACATTTGGTCCCTTATAAATTTTTCAAAGCTGTCAACATTATGGCCCAAAATACAAGAAGTATTATGCTTCTTTCAAAATTATCAAGGGAAGCATGATAAAGTGTTTTCCTTTACCCATCAATTTATTACCTATCTATGTATTTGGTCCGGATAAAAATCACCAGGTCCAGTAAGATTTGAAATTTTACTGGCCCGAATGTCCTTTGCTTTTTAAAGTTTTTCGTGAAGACTGTAATGCATATTTTTTTGCCTGTTATTGACAGTGTGAAATCCCTGACATTATAAAATATGTTGAAAGTCTCTCATTCTACAGGATGTACTATGTGCAGGAAACAATTATTATTTTCTACTCTTTACTTCATTAAATAGTACTTTAAATTACGAAGGGACTGTAGGAGTATTCGATCTGATTTTACACACTAATTATATTCCCAACCAATTTTTCCTCCATTTTTTTCTTTAAGTGTTTGGGTTAAATGTCTATAATGTATGGGGTTAACATTGTTGTCAATGATAATTGTCACAATTTGTGGGGTTTCATCAGTGAACTTTTTTTGTCTATCAGGTTGTGGGGCTATATTTCCACAGTGTATAACGTTTACAAATTTTGTCCATAATAAGTGTGGTGTTTCATCAGTGACCTTGATTTTAATTAATTTTATTTTGTTTTTTGTCTATCATGTTGTGGGGCTATATGTCCGCAGTTTATGGGGTTAACATTTTTTGTCCATAATTAGTGTGGGGTTTCAACAGTGAACTTTATTTACTTTAAATAATTTTTGTCTTTTTTTTTGTCTATGACATTATGGGGTTTTATGTCCAACTTGTATTTGATTAACTTTTTTTGTCCATAAGTGTGGGGTTTTTGCAGAAAATTGAATTTTGAGTAATTTTTTTTTTTGTGGTTTTTGGCCCATAAAGTGGTGGGGTACAGCCTGAAAAAGTGCTTAAATTTGTGTACTTTTTTTTAAAGTGCTTGCAAATGATAAAAGTGCTTTAAAGTCCTTTAATTTGACTGCTCTTTTCAAAAGTACTTAAATTGCTGCTTATGTGCTTGAAAATGATTGAATGACATAGAATATATATAAGAAAAAAAATTATTATGTTTTGCACTGATGAAGGCATATAGCCGAAACATATGCAATAAAAAATTACTGAATGTTCGTGTTTGTGTGGCATGTCTGTTTATAGAATATATACATGTATGTAAGTGTCAGTAAAATCCACAGTTGACAAAAACAATCTTGTAAAGTAACAAAATCAATGAATTTTGATATGTTTGCACAATGTAACAAACACAAACTCCAGTTGATTTGCAGTACACTTCAACCCCTATATATTGCGTTATATTTGCACAATATAACAAGCACAAATACCAGTTGTTTTGAAGTACATGGTCATGTTGGGGTCCAAGGTCGTGACAATACATTTTAACCATATAACAGCTTTATCCCACCTGCTGCAATTACGTACAGAATATTGTTGATAAAAAGGCGACTGATTGATTATGACAACCACTGAAGAAAGAAAAAAAACTAAATCAGGCATTTTTGGGGCCGTCTGGGTTATTAGTGTCCTAATTACAATTGTTTATTGCACTTGACTGTCACAAGTGTGTTTTTTTTAGTGTGTTGGGGGCCGGGTCCTGTGAACGTTGCCTTTGCCTTGTTGATCTTTGTTCTTGTTTTTTTTTGTAGCAGAAAATTTAGTGTGACTTAAAGTGTAGCCAGAAAATGTGTATTCAACAAAAATGGCTTTAAAATTAACGGTTGAAGGAAAAACATGCTTAAAAAGTTCCTGAATTTTGGCACTGAATGTCTGTATGAACCCTGGGTTATATGTGTTTGGGGTTAACATTTTTGCCATAATAAGTGTGGGGTTTCATCAGTGAACTACATTTTAAATAATTTTGTCTGTTTTGTCTATCAAGTTGTGGGGCTATATGTCCACAGTGTATGGGGTTTACATTTTTTGTCAATAATAAGTGTGTGTTTCATCAGTGAACTGCATTTTAAATAATTTTTGCCTATAAAGTTTTAAGGTTATATGTCCATAGTGTATGGGGTTAACATTTTTGTCCATAAGTGTGGGGTTTTATCTGTGACCTGCATTTTATTATTTGACCTTTTGTCTTAGGTTGTTAGGTTATATGTTCATTATCATATTTTGCTTGACTATTTCGAAATTATTCCCTCTTGAACTTGGAATTTATGTTAATATGTTAACAAATATTTTTTTCTATAACTTAAAGATCCTGTAACACATTTTTTTCATGGTTTAATGTCATAAATATTAGGGCTGGGTATTGATCAGAAATTTTCGATACGATACGTATTGCGATACAGACCAACGATACACAATACGTATTGACGATACAGTACAATGATGCTTCATTGTTAGGATGTACTTATTAAAAGTACTATTTACATTTCATAGATTCCCTGGTGAAATATTATTGAATCTTTCTGATATCTGTTTTAGATTTTTGACTTTTGTTAATGATGATATATAATACAGAGCAGGTGCATAGGTACCTAATTAGTACATTTGAGATAAATTTTTTGAAAAATGACATGGATGGCCCCCTTTTTTTAGATAAAAACAATTATTTTGAAAAAAAAAAAAAGCTTTGTAGAGAAATAATTCAATGCAAAAATATAAATTATGTAAATACTAGGAAAAGTTAACACAGAAAATAATTAAAACATCACTATTTATTATGACAGGAGTCTAGTACTGTCTACAGTCAACTGTTCTAAATTATAAGATCTTTATAATAAAATCAAATTTTGTAGAATTTGAAATATATACGCTGAGAAAGTATTGAAACATTGAAAAATTTTCTAACAAATCATGTTTTCTTCATCTTAAACGGTTTAAAAAATTAACAATAAAAATATAAATATAATGTAATGATGTTGCATGGTGTTCGTAATTCCGTAACGTACCGGGAAAACGGTGTTTTAGCTACGTCTTCGCGCAGTCACATTATTTTAGTTAGCAAACTACATCTTGGAAAATCAATAAAATTTTATAGGATTTTATGTGTTTTACAAGATGTGTTGGATTAAATTACAAGTAAAATGTTGGTCTAATACATACTACTGCCGACCTGAAAAGTATTTTTTAACCAGTGTTAGAAATAGGAGATTTGAATGGCCGGATAAGTTTTTGTCACGATTTATCCGTCATTTTGTGTATTGACACATTCCGTTGTTCCACCTGAACTAATCAAATGCCGCCTTTCAAATATTGCATAGGGCCTTTCTTAACATTTACTTAGAAGAAAATCCACACTTTTGACTTTCGTGCGGACATATTAAAGATGATAATTTTAATGTAAAGCCATCATGTTTATAAGTTACATATTTATTAGGTTGTCTCCTTGTTATCGGTATAGCTAAAACCATAACCGTACCGTATTGAAAAAACGGAAATCGAAAAATACCGATTTACCGATATTGATCCAGCCTAATAAAATATGATGCTTAATTTTAAGATCTGGTCAATATTATTAAGTTTCAAATAAGCATTATTATAAAGATATTACCCAAATTAACATTTCATGTGAATAAAGGGAGGTAATAAGAAATTAATTTTCTATGAAGTCAAATTTTCCAATAAGAAATAAATGCATAGAATTTATTGATTAAATATAACATGCGCACAAATATTTGCAGTAAACATTTAACATATTCTTGTTTTATTGTTTTATTTGCATAATTATATGACATATATAATTTTTTGCAAGTGTGGTATACACACAGTAACAATATTAATCACAAAACTCTGTATCTTTAATACATAATAGATTTTTTTTTGTCTTCCTTAAGTACTGTGTCCAGTATTTTAGCTGATCTTTAATACATAATAGATTTTTTTTTGTCTTCCTTAAGTACTGTGTCCAGTATTTTAACTTTGCTGTCTCCGGTGACAGCTCTTGTTTGTCTATAGGTTTGTGGGGGGTATATGTCCATAATGTGCGGGCTAACAATTTAGTTATAATTGTGGGGTTCATCATAAAAATTCATTTTGAAAAATTTATTTGACTTTTTGTTGTGGGGGCGGTGTATGTCCAAAGTGTGGGGGTTAACATTTTTGTCTGTAAGTTTGGGGTTTAATAAGAAAACTTCAATTTTAATGATTAATTTTGACTTTTTTGTTTATATAGTTTTGGGGTTATATGTCCATAGTATGTGGGGCTTACATTTTTGTCTATGAGTGTGGGGTTTAATAAGAAAATTTCATTTTAAATTATTCTTTTGACTTTTTTGTCTATATAGTTGTGGGGTTATATGTCCATAGTATGTGGGGCTTACATTTTTTTCCATGAGTGTGGGGTTTAATAAGACAACTTCATTTTAAATTATTAATTTTGACTTTTTTGTCTATAGGTTGTGGGGTTAAATGTCCATAGTGTGTCGGGCTTACATTTTTGTCCATGAGTGTGGTGTTTAATAAGAAAATTTCATTTTAAATGATTAATTTTGACTTTTTTGTCTATAGGTTGTGGGGTTATATGTCCATAGTGTGTCGGGCTTACATTTTTGTCCATGAGTGTGGGGTTTAATAAGAAAATTTCATTTTAAATGATTTATTTTGACTTTTTTGTCTATAGGTTGTGGGGTTAAATGTCCATAGTATGTGGGGCTAACATTTTTGTCCATGAGTGTGGGGTTTAATAAGAAAATTTCATTTTAAATGATTAATTTTGACTTTTTTGTCTATATAGTTGTGGGGTTATATGTCCATAGTGTGTGGGGCTTACTTTTTTGTCCATGAGTGTGGGGTTTAATAAGAAAATTTCATTTTAAATGATTTATTTTGACTTTTTTGTCTATAGGTTGTGGGGTTATATGTCCATAGTGTGTGGGGCTTACATTTTTGTCCATGAGTGTGGGGTTTAATAAGAAAATTTCATTTTAAATGGTTTATTTTGACTTTTTTGTCTATATAGTTGTGGGGTTATATGTCCATAGTGTGTGGGGCTTACATTTTTGTCCATGAGTGTGGGGTTTAATAAGACAACTTCATTTTAAATGATTAATTTTGACTTTTTTGTCTATATAGTTGTGGGGTTAAAAATTATGTCCATAGTGTGTGGGGCTTACATTTTTGTCCATGAGTGTGGGGTTTAATAAGACAACTTCATTTTAAATGATTAATTTGACTTTTTTGTCGATATAGTTGTGGGGTTATATGTCCATAGTATGTGGGGCTTACATTTTTGTCCATGAGTGTGGGGTTTAATAGGAAAATTTCATTTTAAATGATTTATTTTGACTTTTTTGTCTATATAGTTGTGGGGTTATATGTCCATAGTGTGTGGGGCTTACATTTTTGTCCATTAGAGTGGGGTTTAATAAGACAACTTCATTTTAAATGATTAATTTTGACTTTTTTGTCTATATAGTTGTGGGGTTATATGTCCATAGTGTGTGGGGCTTACATTTTTGTCCATGAGTGTGGGGTTTAATAAGACAACTTCATTTTAAATGATTAATTTTGACTTTTTTGTCTATATAGTTGTGGGGTTATATGTCCATAGTATGTGGGGCTTACATTTTTGTCCATGAGAGTGGGGTTTAATAAGACAACTTCATTTTAAATTATTAATTTTGACTTTTTTGTCTATAGGTTGTGGGGTTATATGTCCATAGTATGTGAGGCTAACATTTTTGTCCTAATAACCCCACTAATAGACAAAATAAAATTATTCAACATGAAGTTTTCTGATGAAACCACAAATACATTACAGACAAAAAATGTCAACCCCATAAAATGTGGACATATGTCCTTCATGTATGGGGGTAACAATGTTTGTCCATAATATGTGTGGGGTTACACAAGAAAACTTCATTTTTAAAAAATGTATTTTGCCCTTTTTATCCATTACATTTTTTCTAAAGTAAGTGTATGGTTTCATCAAGAAACTCCATTAAATTATTGTTATTTTATTGTGTGTTTGCACATCCTTCTGATGTTGATTGATTACTCTTTCAGACCAGATTCTTTGACAGGGTGTATGATATGGGCCCAACTGCAAGGCATACCTAAGACAATGAGATGGCCAGTAAAAGTTGTGACTTTGCCACTTGTTTACTGCAATTCTGATCGTGCCTGGTAAGTTTAATATATGATATGTCTTTTTTTACTTTATAAATTGGCCCTTTATTGATACACATAACATTTAATCAGATTTAGTTACTTCCTCAGGGTGCTTAAGTGAGAAACTTCTGAAGGCAGTCTGACATGTTCTTGTTTTAAACTGAAGATTTCAATAAAAATGATTTTGCTTCAAAAATCATTTGTCACATAACACGAGACCCATTTTTTCATGCAAGTTATAGTTTTCAGATATAGGCATATCACCATTGAATTTAGTGCAACATGCTGTGACATTGGTCTTACCTTGATGTCATATTTTTAAAACCTCCATTGATTATTATGCTATTCAAAACATATAATATGACCTTGACCCCCAAATTTTTAGACACTGCATTATATATTAGTGTACAATTTGCCTAAAAATAACAGAAGAAGTCAGTTAAGGTAACTTATTGGAAGCGATAAACAAATACCAAAAAAAAAAAAAGATTGATTTTGAGACACAAAATAAAAGCATTAAATTTTCTGGGTTTTGATAGATCCTTTCTCTGACCTTTTATTTGAATAACAATAGATTTAACCACAAACATTGACATGTGCTCTTTAACAAATAGGTTGTGGTGAAATTGTTATTGTATCCACAAATCTGGTAATAAGAATTAAATAGGTCAGGGATATATGCATTATGATTCATTTATTGATAATTACTCATTGCATACTTAGATACAAAACTTTGCACTATATTTGATTACAGGCTTAATTTGAAAAACAGTACACAAGTTGAAGAATTTCAACTTAACAACATTGATAAATGGAAATCTGCTGCAGAAAGTAATATTTGTTTCAAAATGTTGAAAAGTTGATTTTTTACCAAATCATGTTTATTTATTTTATATCTAAAACACTATTGCTTCCTTATTTTGTGTTACTCTATTTCTTGCAAAAATTTTCCCTGCAGGTTTTTTTTTATTAGGCTTTGGGATGTAGCCCTGGCCTTCAACTTTTTGGGGAAGTTAGCACCATTCAATGACAAATTGTGCCACAAAAACTGACATGGGAATAGAATTAACGGGAGTAAGTTTAAAACTGGGTGAAAATTTGGTGATTTTGAAGAAATTTTCTTGGGGGATGTAGTTTGTATTTGGTTAAGAAATAGCCATCATGACCTTGTATGCATAAAATCATTGTTGTCTTGAGACATGATACATTTTCAAACTTCAAATAAGTTGCATTCTCTTAAAGTAAATGTTGTAAAATTTCACTGGTAAGAAGGGAGCTCTAGTGTGTTGTAATAGTTGCTTTACTGAGTAAGGAAGTATCTCACTAGCTGGAAGAAATAAAATATTTCATCATTTATGATAATTTGGCATCAAAAACATGCTAAGAATGTTTCCTTTGTATTCTCTAATGACCTTGCAAAAACAAATTTTATTGGTACTTGGATTGACCAGATATCTAAGTGAGATACATCCTAAGGCCTAAAAAAAGAAATTGTGTTGTAAAGGTCATGTAACCTTATCTAAATTAGCAATCTCTAAATATAATTTTGCTATTTAGTGTTGTTACCCAGGTCATAGGGTGTGGTTTTGTTATTGCCCTTTGTATCAAAAATGGCAGCTCATTGGGTTTGCCATCACACTTAAAAGTTTCTTAAGTTTAAAATGATTTTATCTGACCTACCCCACCTATTATTGGGAAGGAAACAACACAATTTTCTTATTTTAGGCCTTGCCAATTTCACTGTTTTGTTGGACCTTCCAAATTAAGTTTGTTCATGTTTGTTTCATTTTCTGTACTATTTACAATAAATTGTCCTTATCAATAATGCATGATTATTGCCAGTGTGATACAGACTATGTTGCAGTGATTTTTGTTGAAATTATCAAAACAGGCTTTCTTACGGCGAAAATATATCACAATCTAAGGCACACAAGGTCTTAGAAGCAAATTAATTTTTCACTGTTTAGAATTGCAAAAATGTCTTTTATAACATTGGAACAATTGTTTTATAGTAAGTTAAATGCTTATAACTTAAAGAGAGAAGCCTGAATGTGACAGTATTTGTCAAAAAAGTAGCAATTGTAAACAAAGTAGTATTTTGACTGCCATACAAAGTACTAATTCAGACACTATAAATATATACTTATTACGATGAAGCAATAAATTTATAAAAGCAAAAGAATGTATCCAAGAAAGTTATTTTTGAAAACCGACAAGACATAAAAAACAAAGGCTTTTTGAATAATGAGAATGGCAGCATTTTTGTGGCCTAATGGGCCTTTAATCAATAAAGGAAAATTCTGAAATTAAAAACAAGTGACATTATTTATCAGATCCATTATTTTAAAATAAATTTTCCATCACAAATTTTTAATTTTTCTCAGAGCTATTTATTTGGTAATTATGCCCCCTTTTGAAAAAAAGGGGGTATATTGCTTTGCACTTGTCGGTCCGTCGGTCCGTCGGTCCGTCGGTCCGTCGGTCCGTAGACCAAATGGTTTCCGATTGATAACTAAAGAACCCTTAGGCCTAGGAACTTCAAACTTGGTATGGTGATTGGTCATGACAAGTAGATGACCCCTATTGATTTTGGGGTCAAGGGGTCAAAGGTCAAGGTCACATTGACCTTGTAAGCAAAAACGGTTTCCGATCAATAACTAAAGAACCTTAAGGCCTAGGAACTTCAAACTTGGTATGGTGATTTGTCATGATCAGTAGATGACCCCTATTGATTTTGGGGTCAAGGGGTCAAAGGTCAAGGTCACATTGACCTTGTAAGCAAAAACGGTTTCCGATCAATAACTAAAGAACCTTAAGGCCTAGGAACTTCAAACTTGGTATGGTGATTTGTCATGATCAGTAGATGACCCCTATTGATTTTGGGGTCAAGGGTCAAAGGTCAAGGTCACATTGACCTTGTAAGCAAAAACGGTTTCCGATCAATAACTAAAGAACCTTAAGGCCTAGGAACTTCAAACTTGGTATGGTGATTTGTCATGATCAGTAGATGACCCCTATTGATTTTGGGGTCAAGGGGTCAAAGGTCAAGGTCACATTGACCTTGTAAGCAAAAACGGTTTCCGATCAATAACTAAAGAACCTTAAGGCCTAGGAACTTCAAACTTGGTATGGTGATTTGTCATGATCAGTAGATGACCCTTATTGATTTTGGGGTCAAGGGTCAAAGGTCAAGGTCACATTGACCTTGTAAGCAAAAACGGTTTCCGATCAATAACTAAAGAACCTTAAGGCCTAGGAACTTCAAACTTGGTATGGTGATTTGTCATGATCAGTAGATGACCCCTATTGATTTTGGGGTCAAGGGGTCAAAGGTCATGGTCACATTGACCTTGTAAGCAAAAAACGGTTTCCAATCAATAACTAAAGAACCTTAAGGCCTAGGAACTTCAAACTTGGTATGGTGATTTGTCATGATCAGTAGATGACCCCTATTGATTTTGGGGTCAAGGGGTCAAAGGTCAAGGTCACATTGACCTTGTAAGCAAAAACGGTTTCCGATCAATAACTAAAGAACCTTAAGGCCTAGGAACTTCAAACTTGGTATGGTGATTTGTCATGATCAGTAGATGACCCCTATTGATTTTGGGGTCAAGGGGTCAAAGGTCAAGGTCACATTGACCTTGTAAGCAAAAACGGTTTCCGATCAATAACTAAAGAACCTTAAGGCCTAGGAACTTCAAACTTGGTATGGTGATTTGTCATGATCAGTAGATGACCCCTATTGATTTTGGGGTCAAGGGGTCAAAGGTCAAGGTCACATTGACCTTGTAAGCAAAAACAGTTTCTGATCAATAAGTAAAGAACCCTAAGGCCTAGGAACTTCAAACTTGGTATGGTGATTGGTCATGATCAGTTGATGACCCCTAACGATTTTGGGGTCAAGGGGTCAAAGGTCAAGGTCACATTGACCTCTTGGGTAAAAACGGTTTCCGATCAATAACAAAAGAACCCTTAGGCCTAGGAACTTCAAACTTGGTATGGTGATTGGTTATGACCAGCAGATGACCCCTATTGATTTTGGGGTTAAGTGGTCAAAGGTCAAGGTCACATTGACCTTGTAGGTAAAAACAGTTTCCGATCAATAACGAAAGAACCCTTAGGCCTAGGGACTTCAAACTTGATATGGTGATTGGTCATGATCAGTAGATGACCCCTATTGATTTTGGAGTTAAGGGGTAAAGGTCAAGGTCACATTGACCTTGTACGTAAAAATGGTTTCCGATCAATAACGAAAGAACCCTTAGGCCTAGGGACTACAAACTTGATATGGTGATTGGTCATGATCAGTAGATGACCCCTATTGATTTTGGGGTCAAGGGGTCAAAGGTCAAGGTCACATTGACCTCTTAGGTAAAAACAGTTTCGGATCAATAACTAAAGAACCCTTAGGCCTAGGAACTTCAAACTTGGTATGGTGATTGGTCATGATCAGTAGATGACCCCTATTGATTTTGGGGTCAAGGGGTCAAAGGTCAAGGTCACATTGACCTCTTAGGTAAAAGCAGTTTCCGATCAATAACTAAAGAACCCTTAGGCCTAGGAACTTCAAACTTGGTATGGTGATTGGTCATGACCAGCAGATGACCCCTACTGATTTTGGGGTTAAGGGGTCAAAGGGAAAGGTCACATTGACCTTGTAGGTAAAAATGCTTTCCGATCAATAACTTAAGAACCCTTAGGCCTAGGAACTTCAAACTTGGTATGGTGATTGGTCATGACCAGCAGATGACCTATTGTTTTTAGGGTCAAGGGGTCAAAGGTCATGTAACATTGACCTTGTAGGTTAAAACGGTTTCTGATCAATTAACTAAAAACGCTTAGGCCTAGGAACTTCAAACTTTGTATGATGATTGGTGGTGACCAGCAGATGACCCCTATTGAGTTTTGGGTCAAGGGGTCAAAGGTCAAGGTCACATCGACCTTGTAAGTAAAAACGGTTTCTGATCAATAACTTAAGAACGCTTAGGCCTAGGAACTTCAAACTTGGTATGGTGATTTTTCATGACCAGCAGATTACCCCTTTCGATTTTGGGATCAAGGGGTCAAAGGTCAAGGTCCCATTGACCTTGTAAGTAAAAACGGTTTCTGATCAATAACTAAAGAACACTTGGGCCTAGGAACTTCAAACTTGGCATAATGATTGGTCATGATCAGCAGATGACCCCTATTGATTTTGGGGTCAAAGGTCAAGGTCACATTGACCTTGTATGTTAAAACGGTTTCGGATCAATAATAAAACAACCCTTAGGCCTAGGAACTTCAAACTTGGCATGGTGATTAGTCATGACCAGCAAATGACCCCTATTGATTTTGGGGTCAAGGGGTCAAAGGTCAAGGTCACATTGACCTTGTAAGTAAAAACGGTTTCTGATCAATTAAGTAAAAACGCTTAGGCCTAGGAACTTCAAACTTTGTATGATGATTTGTCTTGACCAGCAGATGACCCCTATTGAGTTTTGGGTCAAGGGGTCAAAGGTCAAGGTCATGACCAGTAGATACTTGATAACCCTTATTAATTGTTTGATCACTGGGTCAGAAGTCATGCATAATTACCTTATCACATGAATAATTGGCTGCTGATAGGGGGCATACATGTTTTACAAACATATCTTGTTTGAATTGTGTTCTTGCAGTTACAGACTTATTTTATGTCTAAGGGAAAAACATGGCACTATTTAAGGGAAAATATAGCATTGGCTAGGGGAAACAGCCTGTTTACTGGGGGAAACAGCTGCTGGTAAAGGCTATAAAATATACGAAAAAAATGACTGTCTTTATTCTCGGTTCCAGCAACTTCTAATACCATGACAATTATTGTAAAAAAAAATCCTCTTGAATTTGTTTCTACCTTACAGGTCAAATTATTGAAATTTTCTTATTTGTTTGCTGAAGTGGCTATAATTTTGTTTGATGTCATTTATATACAATATATTATATTCTTTGGATACAACTGTCATTTATGTCAAGCCAAATTTTACCTTGGATCATTAAAGGCCCTGAAGGTTAAATTATATTATTTTCATTGATTTCTGTAACTGTGTAATTAGGCCACATTTAAGGTAGGCTGCCAAAAAAAAAAATCGCCCAGAAAACCAAAATAGAATTGAAGGAAAATATCGCAAAAATTGTCTTTGAAATACTGCCATGTTGTATAAAAATTAAATATAATTTTTCAAGGTTATTCAGGAATATTTAAGCAGAATCAGTTGTGTCACAACAGTAATTTGACCGCTTAAATTTATGCCTACAAAGTCATTTTATTTTGTGTTATGATTACTATGGAATATGTCTTTGTTTTTGACTGTGTAATACATGTCAGGTTCGTCATCGCCAGGTTCGTCATCGCTGATGATGATGATGTCCATATTTTTACAATTCATCTGCTACAACCAAGCATAATTATATACTTGAGTTCTGTGAAAATCATACATCATCAAAAAAAAGCCTTCTTACCAATAACGATCCACTCCTTGCAACCTTTTGGTCGGCAACAGCAAACAGATATATTTTAAAGGTGGCCTTAATTAAAGTGGAATATCTTCATACTTTAACGCAAGAACAAAATCTATTCAATTTCGGCATAAAAAAATAACAAAAACTAGACAATTGGGCAGAAGTGCTACCACCAGATTCGGTTAATACAGAATTGTGTCCTGTACCTTGAACGACCGCCATCATCGGTACAAATGATCGAATCCGATCATGGTAAAATAATTAATGGTAAGAGCAGTTGAGAAACCTTGTCCTGTACCTTCGTCCCATGAAACGGGATCGCCACTATCGGAACAAATGACCGAATCAGATCATGGTGATAAAATAGAAAGGATACATACTCTCAGTCTCTGATCAAATAATTGAAATTTTCAAAAATGCAAAAGAAAGACACCTTAAACTTTGAAATAGCATGTCAATAAAACAAAATAGAAGTCAATTCAAGTCTGAAAAAAAATGCATTACTGTTCTCAATTTACAGGTTTTTTTTCACAATTTCATGGAGCATCACGCTTTTTTTCACAAAATGAACAGGCCCAGGCCCCTTCACAATTGTGACAAAAAATGCCCTGTATTTTATTCTTTGTTTCTTTTTTTCAGAGATACTGAAAAAGAAACATGAATCCTTGGCCGCTTTTTTAGACGATGTGGATTGGGCTATTTGGCAACTTCAAACTTGTAAGTGTTCCACATTTTTTTCTTTCAATTTTTATGCCACAGCAGCCTCTGTCATATGGTGGCAAAAACTGAATCAGATGTATTTGTGTGTGTCTGGGTAAACTATATCAACAAAACTTGTCAAATTGTTACTTGGGTGAAGGGCTTCCAAAGTTGGGTTTTTTTTGTTGTTTTTTTACTAATTATTGTTTTTTTAACCTCTCAGTTTTAATTTTGATATATGTAATCAAAATATATATTTTTATGTAAATCTGAGAAAAACAAATGATATAATTATTGTTATGTAAATCTGAGAAGTTTGCCATTCTGCTCGCTCCTATGACAGCTTTTGCTTGCTTTAAGTTTAATCACAGGTGGGTATTGTTGTTTTAGTGCATTATTAGCATTTAGTTTTTAGGATTGTTGAATGTTGGTCGTCCGCCCACATTAGTTTAAGACTCTTATGGTCACATTTTTGTCTCAATCATCATCAAACTTATCAGGATACCTATTTTTAAAAAAATCTACTTCTGTTTTAATGGTGCGGTGTCATAGCATTTTTTTCACAAATGCATTCTTGCTTTACTTAGAGACTTAAAATTTGGATCAGATGACATACATATTTATTATTACCATGTAGAATGTATAAAAAAGCTTAATACTTTTGTTGTCCAAAACAGTAACCTTCAAACTATTTTAATTTGCATGTCACATTTGAGTGTATTTATTTATTAGTTATAAAAAGATTGTCCCATCAAAATTTACCCTGCTCTAGTTTGTCATTAATTGTACATTTATCCTACAAAGTCTCCTAGAAACACACTTGCATTATTGATATTTTTTACAAAGCCTTTACAGAATAATAGGACAAAATATCTCTATTAATATAATGAACAATGAAATGATGGGTCAGGTGAGCGATCTAGGGCCCTCTTGTATAATTTGATAGGTCTGTTTGCTATTTACACAAGAGTATTCCAGGTTCTTTATTTGTGACTTTCACCTAAAGTAACTTTGAACTTGTAGGCACACCAACTCAGGAGAAAGCAAGAGATGTTGCCTTACCTGATGAAGTAAGACCATTACCTAATGAAGATCCAGAAACCCCAGACACTGTCATGCCCAACATAGCTTCAGATACAGTCTTATTTGAGAAACTAACTAACACAACCATAACTGAGGGAGCTATAGACAAAGCCCTACTTCAGAATCATATAAACACAGCCCAAGTTGTGGAAGCTATAGACACAACCCAAGTTGAAGAAGCTACAGCCTTAACTAAGGTTACTAAAGACACGGCTTCTCCTGAAGAGGCCTCAGACAAAGCCTTACAGTGCTACAGTCAAGGGACAGCCTTACCTGGTGAAGTTATCAACATAGCTGTACATACAGACACATTTCTACCTGAGCAAGCAAGGAACACTGCTGAAAAAGTCCTTGGGAGCTGTAGTAATGAAGTGCAAGAACATTGTGAATATACTGTTATAATTGAAGAACAGCATAAACTTTCTCCAAGAATTGAGGAAGTAAGACCCTTACCTGATGAAAATCCAGAAACCCCAGACACTGTAATGCCCAACTCAGCTTCAGATACAGTCTTATTTGAGAAACTTACAAACACAACCATAACCGAGGAAGTTACAGATAAAGCCACATCTGATGAAGCTTTAGGCATAGCCCTACTTCAGAATCTTATAGACACAGCCCAAGTTGTGGAAGCAATAGACACAGCCCAAGTTGAAGAAGCTACAGCCTTAACTAAGGTTACTAAAGACACAGCTTCTCCTAAAGAGGCCTCAGAGAAAGCCTTACAGTGCTACAGTCCAGGGACAGCCTTACCTGGGGAAGTTATCAACAAAGCTGTACATACAGACACAGTTCTACCTGAGCAAGCAAGGAACACTGCTGAAAAAGTCATTGGGAGCTGTAGTAACGAAGTGCAAGAAAATTGTGAATATACTGTTATAATTGAAGAACAGCATAAACCTTCTCCAAGAATTGAGGAAGTAAGACCCTTACCTGATGAAGATCCAGAAACCCCAGACACTGTAATGCCCAACTCAGCTTCAGATACAGTCTTATTTGAGAAACTAACAAACACAACCATAACCGAGGAAGTTACAGATAAAGCCACATCTGAAGAAGCTGTAGACATAGCCCTACTTCAGATTCTTATAGACACAGCCCAAGCTTTGGAAGCTATAGACACAACCCAAGTTGAAGAAGCTACAGCCTTAACTAAGGTTACTAAAGACACGGCTTCTCCTAAAGAGGCCTCAGAGAAAGCCTTACAGTGCTACAGTCCAGGGACAGCCTTACCTGGGGAAGTTACCGACAAAGCTGTACATACAAACACAGTTCTACCTGAGAAAGCAAGGAACACTGCTGAAAAAGTCATTGGGAGCTGTAGTAATGAAGCTCATGAAAATTATGAATACATTGTTATAATTGAAGAACAGCATAAACTTTCTCCAAGAATTGAGGAAGTAAGACCCTTACCTGATGAAGATCCAGAAACCCCAGACACTGTAATGCCCAACTCAGCTTCAGATACAGTCTTATTTGAGAAACTAACAAACACAACCATAACCGAGGAAGTTACAGATAAAGCCACATCTGAAGTAGCTTTAGGCATAGCCCTACTTCAGAATCTTATAGACACAGCCCAAGTTGTGGAAGCTATAGACACAACCCAAGTTGAAGAAGCTATAGACACAACCAAAGTTGAAGAAGCTACAGCCTTAACTAAGGTTACTAAAGACACAGCTTCTCCTAAAGAGGCCTCAGAGAAAGCCTTACAGTGCTACAGTCCAGGGACAGCCTTACCTGGGGAAGTTATCAACAAAGCTGTACATACAGACACAGATCTACCTGAGCAAGCAAGGAACACTGCTGAAAAAGTCCTTGGGAGCTGTAGTAACGAAGTGCAAGAAAATTGTGAATATACTGTTTTAATTGAAGAACAGCATAAACATTCAACAAATAACCTTGAAATGAAGAAAAATGATGAAGGCAATAAATTCGCTAATGTATCTGTGCTTAAAAGAAACCGTGGGGAACGGAAAAAAGAACAAGTTAAGAAAAGGCCTAAGTTGATTTCAGAATCTGAGAATTCTGATAACAGTCCTTATGAAGTAGACAGTGATTGGTCACCAGCACCTGTCAGGAAAAGGATCAGACAAGTGTTAGAATCTGATGACAATGAGAACAGTGATCAGTCTGAAGTGTTTCCTATGCTTAGTGCAAAGAGGATAAAGCTAAACAATGTAGACTCAGAATTTTCAGATAATGATGAAAATGAAGAAGAGGAAAATGTGTTTCGGGATATAAATTATAAAAATGTTTACATTTCTGCTGTAAAAAAGAATCACTTGACAAAAACAGGCAAATGCAAAGTTACAAATCGTGTGTATGATATGACACATCCTTGTCCATTCTGTTCAAGGGTTACTAAAAACTTTTCCCACCATATTTTCAGTAAGCAACATGAAAAAGAAGAAGCTGTCCAAGATATTAAAAAAATTCATAATGAGAAAGAAAGAAAGAAAAAGATTGCAAAGCTTCGCCTTAAAGCTGCTCATGAGCATAATGTGAAAGTACTCAAAGAAAAAAAGGGAGAAATCTATGTGTTACGTAGATCTAATAAAACTGAAGAAGATTCTGATGAAGATCCATCATATGAAGGCACTGGTAAAACTGTGGATATATCGCAATATGGTCCATGTCCTAATTGTTATGGATGGATTGTTTGTCGCTCTTTGAAAAGACATATGAATGTGTGTTCATCCGAGAACTATTCCTCAAAGCGCTCTTTGATGGTATTTGATATTATCATGGGAAAGTTACCAGAAGAGGCATCTCAAGCTCTAGTCAATGAAGTTTTCCCTATAATGAAAAACGATGATATAGCTGAAATTGCATGCCATGACTCTCTGATAATAAACCTAGGAAATCAGTGGATGATGCGTAACAGGGGAAATGAGATAATGAGGAAATATTATACCAGCTCAGTGATGCGCTTAGCAGCAAAATTGAAACAGGCCACTCAAAAACTTTCCAACACAACTTTAGAAATGAGTAAATATTTGGCACCAAAGTATTTTGAAGTTGTTACAAAGGCAGCCTTAGTGTGCTGCCATGCAGAGGATGAAGAAGATTTAAAGGCCCCTAGCAATGCTTTAAAATTAGGGCATGATATAAAGAGAATGGTTGATGCGAAACTTGCCAAAGCAATCATACAAGAAGATAATGATGAGCAAAAAGAAGCCCAAGACTTCCTCAGACTTATGTCAATGCAGTGGGGCCTTCGAGTTACAAAGTTAGCAAGATATGTTTTAATTGAACGCTCGTTTAATCAAGTAAAAGAGCTACCTCTTCCTGATGATGTAAAAAAACTGTCAGTGCACCTTCAAAAAGAATTGTCAAGTATTGATTTGGAAGACTGTACTTTCTGTAACTTCAGGAAACTCGCTGTATTGACGTTAACCAGAATAACACTATTCAACAGGAGAAGATGCCATGAAGTGCAGGCTTTAAGGTATGCTTTACCATTCTCTCAGTTTTATTTAAAAAAAAGATATGGCAGTATTACAGAATGTATAAATATGCAAATAAAAAACCCTGAAATAATTCAAGGAAAGAAACAAGATATTGTTTCAAAGAAAATATTGTTCAAGATAAAAAAAATCTTTTTACCATGGGAACAATTTTTTTTAGATACAAATTTTGAAATTTCAGGCTTTCAGCTTATGCTGCTAGGAAGATTGGCAAGAACGAAGTGGGTGAGGAAATCAGAGGAGAACTGACTCAGTTTGAACGGAGACTGCTTCATAGTCAGGAACATGTTGTCATTCGTGGGAAGGTAAATTTTTATATTTTTTTTTCATTTATACTCTGTATGCATTTTTTAGGGTGAGTAAAAGCTGATCATCATAAACTCAATTTGTGAACCGTACCTAAGGGAGTAGTAGGCAAATGGTTTAAGGAATCTTCCATACAACCTTGAACTCCATGTTAGTCAAAGCCCTGTTTCCAATGTACTGGTTGGTTCCAGGAAGTTGACTAGATAGAGATTTTTATTAAGTTATTTTATTAAGTTTAGTTAAGCTAGTCAGTTATTTGCCTTAAAGGACACATGTTTTCAAATTTTAAGGACAATTTAATGTACAGAGTTCAAGAGTTACAGACACTTGTGAACTCCGTTACTTGAAGGGCTCTTTCAGAAATGCGGAAACTCGTATCTGTAATATTATCCTTACATATCTTGCAGTATTGATATGACTGTAACAGTAGTATGTGTATATTTATAGACTGGACGAGGTGTTCCTGTCATTTTACCGAGTGATGTTAAAGGAGCTTTGGACTTTCTTACCAACCAAGATGTTAGAAAGAAGGCAGGAATACTGAAAGACAACCCATATGTTTTTGCAAATAATGGTAATGATTTTTTTCTGGAGTATTTAAGTTCATCTTCTTTACAATTTTCATGGATATGGTTTTTCTATTTTACAAGTTGACTTTCTTCAGTATTAAGAATATCATGGGTTTTTTCCCTTAGCTCATCAAGGGATACAAATTAAAGTTTCAGCTTTAAAAATAAGTGCAATAGGTTGCCTTACCTATTGTGAAAGGTAGTCGTCCATCAAGTTATAACATTGAAATTTGTTTGTACTAGGATAAACTTGCTGAGTTTCGGATAACATCTATAACACAAAGAAGTGTATTGGTGAAGCCAAGATTTATTAAAGGCTTCAACAAAAAAACAAACAAATTAGCTGATAGTTTTAAGGGACAGTTAAGGGATATAGATAAATGGTCAGTAAATTTGACAATTTGAATATTTACCATTGTGTCACTTAGCAAACCAGGAATACAGATTGCATAGTAAAATCAAGGCAATAATCATCTAACTAATATGATTTTTTAGGAGGTTGTTTAAGAAAAGAAAGTGAGATTTGTAAACATAACCACATGCAAGAAGTCCAACATGCACAGCTTCTTAAGTTGTGATTGATGCATGAAAATTTCCACTTATACAGTACTGGTAAAACAAAAGTATTGTGCAGTTTCATTGGTTGAAGTTATGTTTAAATTTTGTCAGGTGCTGGAGTGTTCAGAGCATACGATTCCATTAAAGAAGTAGCCAGTTCGTCAGCAGCAGGTCTGATAAAACCTAATCTTTTAAGAACATCGAACATGAGAAAATATATGGCGACAATGTTGCAGGTAGATCATTTGCTTTATATGATGTCTCTACATTATACATTTTGACTAACAGTATTAGCTAAGCTGATATGGGAATTTATTATTGGGCTGATATCTAAAAATTATTGAGAACTTTTCAGGTTTATAAATATTGATTTGTTATCTTGACTAATTAATAGGGGCAACACTTCATAACATTTAGTGATTTGTCCCACTTTATTTCTTTTGTTGTTTTACTAAGTGATTTACATTCTGCATTCATAAATTTGACAGTTAAATTTGGTCAGTTGTCATGTTTCTATTCATAAAGCAATGCAATTTCTCCATTCTTTTCATTTCAATAGACTTATTGATAGCGTTTTTTCCATATGCAGGCATTAAACACAACAGAAGCTGAACGTCAATGGGTTATAGACCATCTTGGTCACACAATGAATGTCCACAGAGTGCACTATCGACAAACCTCTGACGTAATCGAGAGGGTGGATGTTGCCAAGATTCTTCTCATCCAAGACATGGGTCTAGTTTCTAAGTACAGAGGAAAAAAGCTTGAAGATATTCAACTAAATGGTAATTAGGTTTTGAAACAGCTTGAAAACTATGTATTGATTGTCATATAAATGATTAATTTCAAGGCTTGGAAATTTTGCAGTTTTAGCAAATTGGAATTTTTCGCAAATATTTGATCGCACAAAAATTATTTCTTTTTTTGGCAAACTTGCTTCTATCATTTTTGAAAACGGGTTTTCATGCAGCATCTTACATGTATTTCATACTGTTTAGTTTTGATAATATTCTGCTTCAACTTAATCTGGAAATCTATTGAATAAGTTTGACTGTTCAGGTACTGAGATTTGTTAATTGCTTGTTTAAGTTTGGTCTCATCAATTCACATATTTTTAATGAAACAATATTTATATGTGTTAATAATACAATAGATTATTCATGTAACAAAAGAATGTTTAAAAATATGACAAAGAAATGTGTGATCAAGTTATTTATTAAACTTACAATGAATATTCCAAACAATTATATGAAAAATAAAGGTATAAAATTACTGAATAGAATGATAACAATAAGGGCATATTCTTAACATGTACCTGCTTAATTGATGATGTTACAAAAGCAGTATTAAATTTAAGAAAGCATATTTTCCCAAATATTTCCGCATGCAAAAAACTCACTTTTTGATTTTTGCAAAAAAATTGTGACAAACACTCGTACCGTAATATATATACATTTTGACAATATGAATGCAATTTGTAATGATGAAGTATTCATCAGTAGTCTGTACCATAGTTCTGTTTTATAATATATCTGTTTATTCTGTTTTATAACCTTAAGGACTAGATCTTTACTAGAGCAAACTTTAACTTTAACAATAACTTTGTAATTAATGAATGCATTGTCATATTATTTGTGCGAACAATCCTTGAGAAAAGACGCTATAGAAAATTTAATTGAACTTTACCTTCACCTAAAATGACCTTTACACTTAAGGTCAAATTTATTAATTTTGCTACAATTGGTGATGTATTTATTTATAGGCACATTTTTCCTCAGAAATTAATAGAAATATTTTTCTTTAAAAAGTGGGAAATTTATACTGTTAGATATAAAGAATGTTATTAACTTATCACCTGAAGAGAGAAGTGCTTGAAGTGAAGTAATAAACCATAAATATGGAAAAAATGTTAACAAACTAGTATATTGACAACCACTCAAAAAGCAAATTCTCTATAACTTTACTAGTTGCAGATTAGGAAAGAAAGCAAAAGACTACATACATTTATAGCTTATAAGATCTGTTTTGAAAAAGTAGGGCAGGGCAACAAAAGAAAAGTTTTTTTTGAAAAACTGAAAAATATAGCATTTTTAGGCAAATATGAATTTATGGATTTGATTTATACTTGAACAAAAGAATATTTGTGACAAAACCTGTATATTGAATAATTCTTATATGACCTTGACCTTTAATTGAAATAAACCATTGGTGAATTTATTTAAAGATGTATTCTACTCAAATCTGATATTTGGAAATATTGATATTTTCTACACACTCTATTAGTATATGTAAAATGAATTTTTTTTTGAGTACACACAGAGTATATATTTTGCATTGTAAACTCCATACATTATAAGTAAATACAGAATGAATACATATTGTCATTAAAATTCATTTGTTTTTAGCTCCTTTCTTAACATTCTTTAAATAAAAACCTTGCAATTGTATATAATGAGTTTTACTGTTTCAACATATAAGATGATGGAAAACACCATGTTTGAAATAATTAAGTTATATATGGAACATATTTTCAGACGTTCTCCAAGATGTAGAGTCTGAAGAAGGCGTAAATGGAGCGGATGATGAATCTTCTTTAGAGCTTGATAGTGGGTTGTCTAAAGAACTTGAAAGAGGGTCACTTATGTTTAACAATAACGTTTCTGAAGAATATATCCCAGATATAATGGATGAGGATGAGGAGGAGGAAGATGATGATTATGAAGAAATCAATAAACCTAGTAAAAGAAAACCAAAAAAGCCCTGTAATAGACAAAAGTGGAGTCTAATGGAGGAGAATGAGTTGAAGGAGCTTTTTAAAGAGGAATTCAAATGTCTTAAACTACCAGGACAGAAACGAATAGAAAAAATGATGAAAGTAAGCTTATCAAAGAATGGAGAAATACACAAACGAAAGAGAGACACCATTAAGAAAAAGCTAAGCAATATGATGATAAAATTAAGAAACAAGTAACATTATGATTTTCAGGTTAAAGTGCTGAAAATGTGAACCCAAAAAGTTATTTTTTGCCTAGCTGTCTCCTCTGACATTTTTGCTAGTCTGAATTGGATTATTTGTTCATTTTTCAAAAAATTAAAAAAAGTCTAGGGTTGCCTACCCAGAATTTATTCTTGTTTTTGTTGTTTAGTTGAAAATGTTAAATAAGCTGTTTTCAAATGTAAAAAGAAACAGTAGTGCTTAATAGTTTAAATGTTTAAAAACAGTTTTAAAGACAGTTGGCAAGAAGCACTTCTAAACAAATATTTACTTTCTGCAACAAATTTAAATTTGTTTGTGTTGGTGCATTCCATAACTATATGTTAATAATTAACTGTGAAATATATTGAAATAATTACATTATTTTCCATAAACTTGGGCTTTATTTTGTTAGTATTCAGTAGAAAATGTATTTTGATTACAAGGTGACTGTCAATTTTATGTATTGATTTTTTTTAAAGGACAACTGCTTTGCCAGTGGTATAACAGATGATTGCTTGTCATTGTTGCATATCACACTCTTATGTTTATGTGCCTTTGTGATGACTGATGCTGGGCAATGCATTAAGTAAAGAGTTAAGTCTATTGAATCAAAATACCTTTACATTTTTTCAGGGGCATTTGTCACTTTGCTCAACAGCTCTTGTTCATTTAATTGATTGATTATGTTAGATGGATCAGTGTCACATCTGCCTACTTTTTTTTGTTTCCTTTTTGTTGCGTTTTGTCATTGTATTTCACGGAGCAAGCTGGGAAAGTCTTGTTAAATCTTGCATTAACTTAATTTCAAAACTGTTATATTGACACATTTTTTTTTAGATATTATTGTAATAAAAAATGCACAAAAGTTTGTTTCTTTATATCATTGATAAAATGAAAGTACATTGCAAATTTTTCCTACATTTATATTTTTTCTCTGCTTTTTTGAAGACAGATATTACCATGACATCAGTGTTAGTTAACCTTTTTAGTTTTTTGTTTATGGTGCATCATTTTAATATTAATTAACCTATAACAAAATAACTTCATATTTGAGTTTACCTCTAACACCCATTTTCAGGTCAAAAGGTCAATGTCACTAAAAAAAATTCAATGGGCTGTAAAATAATAATGCATATACCTTGATGAGTTCCGCCTGCCACACCGATTCTCAGGTTAAAGGTCACATGGACCATACATATATGTATGTATGTAGTTATGTAATTGGCCATAAAATGATAGTGCATATATTCAGGGACTTGAATATTAGAATATAGATATACTTCCATGAAATTTACCTTCATCTATTTATGTCAAAGGACAATGTCACTGGTACCTGATATTTTTTAAAATGTTACAGGCCATATTGAAAGTGCATATAACTAGGGACTACATCTTGATGAGCTCTACCTCTCTGAACCATTTTCAGGTTCAAAGGTAAAGGTCAATTGGACTTGTTTTAAGAAATGCAACTGGTCATAAAATGAACGTGCATTTACCCAGTAACTTCAAACTTCCTACATGGATGAACCTCATTGACTTCTTCCTGCCACTTAAAGTTTCAGGTCAAAGCCTCTTGCAACCTGTAAAATGAAAGTGCATATGACTTGTAACTTCAAACATCATTGTTGAATGTAATTTTATCATTTCAACCTTCTACACCTATTTCAAGTCATTATGCCAGAGGTCAAGTTCACTTGCATCTGTTTTAAAATTGGTGATGAAATGACCAGGAACTCCAAACTTCATGCATGGATGCACATTGATGATTTCTACCTCCTTCAGTCATTTGTGGTCATAAGGTCAAGGTTAAATGTGTAAATCGTGCTTTTTACTAATCCAGATCCATGCTGCTCATTTGACAGCTCTTGTTTAAAAAACAAATTGACTTTTAACTTTTTAAAGTTTGTAGTTTGTTCTCAATGAGAGTCCATGATGCTTAGTATAAATAGAATGTCCTGAAAGAAATTTAACTTTACTGAAGTTGTCTCTGTATTTTTTTTGCGCTTTGACATACTTGTTTAATATTAGAATTATGTATGTTCATGAAAATTAATCAATATCTTTGATGTGAAAGCATAACTTATGTTGAAAATAAAATATATTTTATCTTGAAATTCTTGTTGAGTTTACATCTCAATTGATTAAGAAGAAAGGAAAATAAAAAAATATATACAGTAGAGCTCCACCATAAACCACCCGTTTGCATGACCAGTCTGCTATTACGATCAATTTTTCAAAGATTTTTTTTCTTATTAGAGTCTTTCTATCCAAAATTGAGACCAACCTGCTATTGCCTAATACAACTATTTTTTCCAAACAATAATTTTGCATGTATTTAGACCATACCTGTTAAATTGTTTAACCATGCGTGACAACACTAATTTTCTGTCAACTGCTGTAGTCAGTATTGTACTTAATTATTAACCCTTGTCCTAACAACATCATGAACGAGTTATTGCAGTTGCTAATTGAAAGATATAATAATTGTCAGATATTCTTCATGTTAAGGTTTTCCTTTTTTTTTAAATGGTAACAAAAATAAACAATTTGTAACAAGAAAATAGAAGGCTTTGTTAATTAATAATGATATTTTCTGATTTAAATTTAGTTTACCTGTTTATTATTCTTGAAAGTTTTGTTCATAACTTTTGCTTTCAGTTAATACAGTGATACCTTCTTAACAGGTGTTTTTAGCCCGAGTATTCCATAAGAGTAAGTAGAGCTATACCAGTCGGCGTCGGCGTAACCACTTATGTTTTGTAACATCTCAAATATTTTCAAAGTCTGTTAACATATGTCTTTGAAACTTTGCACACATGTTCAACATCATAACTCCCAACATGTACACAGGAGGAGATAAATCTATCAAGCATTTAGACAGGATTATGTCCCTTTCAATTTACGTTTAAGTTTTTATACCACCTGAAAATAAAGTTGATTATTGGCTTTGAAACTGCACATTTGCTTACCATTATGCCCCAAATGTGATCACAGGAGGAGGTAACTCTATCAAGCATTTATCAGAATAATGCCCCTTTTTCGACTTCGAATTTACATTAAAGTTGGTATACCACCTCATATTTTCATATTACATTGATATTTTGCTTTAATACAAGTTGAAATTTTATACACTTCTTTGAGAGCCTAATAAGACTCTCCAAGGCCTATAACTGTAAAATTGATTTTAAGAAAAAATGGCCCTTTTGTTAAATTAGAAAATTTTACATTATCAAGGCTCTTTTACTATTAAGCACTAAGAATAGTCAAGCGACAGCTCTTGTTATGCTGTACTGATGCTGTTTCTGTCATTCCAACTATGAGCTACCATAATTTAATAGTGATACAGAATTTAAATGGAAAGTATTATCTTTAAAAGAAAAGACCAACAAGCGGTCTGGTCTCATTAGTGGGGTTCTATTGTATATTTAACCCCAGAGTGATCTTGGGAAGACATCCAACCCCAAAATGTATCATTTATATGATTTCCTGATGTCATCCCCAGAACAACCATTTGTGCAAACATTTGGAGACCTCGCAGTGGTTTTGGACATCAGACTCCACAATGTCTCTCCTGGCTGTACGTCCGTCCGTCCGTCCGTCCGTCCGTCCGTACGTCCCGAAATCTTGTGAACACAACTCCTCTTAAACCGGATGGCAGATTTTGCTTAAACTTACAGGGATGAACAACCTTAATGTGTAGATGGTAGTAAAGGAAGGAATTTTTGCTGCGACCAAATTTAACAGAATTATGGCCCTTTGTTGATTTTTTCACTAGATACTATGTAGAAATTTTGTGAACACAACTCCTCTTAAACTGGATGGCAGAATTTGCTTAAACTTACAGGGATGAACAACCTTTATGTGTAGATGGTAGTAAAGGAAGGATTTTTTGCTGCGACCAAATTTAACAGAATTATGGCCCTTTGTTGATTTTTTCACTATATACTATGTAGAAATTTTGTGAACGCAACTCCTCTTAAACCGGATGGCAGATTTTGCTTAAACTTACAGGGATGAACAACCTTCAGGTGTAGATGGTAGTAAAGGAAGGAATTTTTGCTGCGACCAAATTTTACAGAATTATGGCCCTTTGTTGATTTTTTCACTATATACTATGTAGAAATTTTGTTAATGCAACTCCTCTTAAACCGGATAGCAGATTTTGCTTAAACTTCCAGGAATGAACAACCTTAATGTGTAGATGGCAATAAAGAAAGGAATTTTTGCTGCAACCAAATTTAACAGAATTATGGCCCTTTTTTGATTTTTTCATTATATACTATGTTGAAATTTTGTGAATGCAACTCCTCTTAAACCGGATGGCAGATTTTGCTTAAACTTCCAGGGATTAACAACCTTAATGTGTAGATGGTAGTAAAGGAAGGAATTTTTGCTGCGACCAAATTTAACAGAATTTATAATATGGCCCTTTGTTGATTTTTAGTTTTCAACTTGTGGCACATGTAGTCCAAAAAATATTTGACCTAGAGTCATAAGATTGACAGAACAGTGGCGTGGCATCCGTGTCCTATGGACACATTTCTAGTTTAAACAACATTTCTCAAACGAAAAACAGTGTTTGGGGTCTAAATAGGACATGTTTTCACTGTTTGAGGCCTTAAAAAAAGGGGGGGGGGCAAAAAGCCGTCGAAACACGCTTATATAAGGGAAAAGGTTAACAAAAAATGATGAAAAACCTTGGAATCACCCAAAATCTAGTTTTTCCATGTTAACATGTGGTCTTTTACCTAATTTTGGTGAAAAATTGTTGTTTTGTAACATTTGTTATTTTTTAGTTAACAAAAAATGATGAAAAACCTTGGAATCACCCAAAATCTAGTTTTTCCATGTTAACATGTGGTCTTTTACCTAATTTTGGTGAAAAATTTTTGTTTTGTAACATTTGTTATTTTTTAGTTAACAAAAAATGATGAAAAACCTTGGAATCACCCAAAATCTAGTTTTTCCATGTTAGCATGTGGTCTTTTACCTAATTTTGGTGAAAAATTGTTGTTTTGTAACATTTGTTATTTTTTAGTTAACCCTTTCCCACATGAGCATATTGTGAAAAATGCCCATTTTCACTGAAAAGCCTCCTCTTACAAGTTCAAACTGCTATGAAACTGTGAAAAATGCTTCAATACTAATCAAACTTGGCACAAATGTTGACTGGACCATTGCCTTTGTAACGACATGCTCAGTCTTAAATTTCCTGTTACCATGGCAACAAGGGACCATCTCAAAATTGCCAAAAATCACTTTTTTGCCTCGATTTTTTCCATCAAAATTTATTTTAAAGTGCTGCAACTTCTCAAGGGATTGAGATAGAGTCAAGGCTTTTCAGCGTTGGTTACATGTTACCTTATGATCAACCTGGGGTCATTTTAAGCCTCTTACAAGTCCAAAATTTTCTTGGCGATGAGGGGGACTCTGCCCCCCTAAACAGAAGGGGGCACATCCCCCTTCTGGCAACACCCTGATGTATTATTTGGATGGGGGACTGCGCCGAAAAAATGGTCACTTTTTTTAACAACATTTCTCAAACGAAAAACAGTGTTTGGGGTCTAAATAGGACATGTTTTCACTGTTTGAGGCCTTACAAAAAGGGGGGGGGGAAGCCGTCGAAACACGTTATATAAGGGAAAAGGTTAACAAAAAATGATGAAAAACCTTGGAATCACCCAAAATCTAGTTTTTCCATGTTAACATGTAGTCTTTTACCTAATTTTGGTGAAAAATTGTTGTTTTGTAACATTTGTTATTTTTTAGTTAACCCTTTCCCCCATGAGCATATTGTGAAAAATGCCCATTTTCACTGAAAAGCCTCCTCTTACAAGTTCAAACTGCTATGAAACTGTGAAAAATGCTTCAATACTAATCAAACTTGGCACAAATGTTGACTGGACCATTGCCTTTGTAACGACATGCTCAGTCTTAAATTTCCTGTTACCATGGCAACAAGGGGACATCTCAAAATTGCCAAAAATCACTTTTTTGCCTCAATTTTTTCCATCAAAATTTATTTTAAAGTGCTGCCACTTCTCAAGGGATTGAGATAGAGTCAAAGGCTTTTCAGCGTTGGTTACATGTTACCTTATGATCAACCTGGGGTCAAACCCCCCAAACAGAAGGGGGCACATCCCCCTTCTGGCACCCCCCTGATGTATTATTTGGATGGCGTACGGCGCCGAAAAAATGGTCACTTTTTTAACAACATTTCTCAAAAGAAAAACAGTGTTTGGGGTCTAAATAGGACATATTTTCACTGTTTGAGGCCTTAAAAAAAAGTGGGGGGGGGGGCAAAAAGCCGTCGAAACACGCTTATATAAGGGAAAAGGTTAATTAATGACCTGCCGAATTTGAAGCTCAAACTGAGCACACATTTCAAAGAGGGGAGCATTTATTATGGCATGATGTACGTCTTTCATGATGTCTTTCATCATTATCCTAAACTGCTTTTAACAGCAAACCTTTCGTAACCGTATGGTAGATTTGACCAAACGTCATCAGAATGGTCCTTTAGTGGTCCTCTTATTTGAATGGTTGCAGTCTGATGCACAAGTAGGTCACAGGAGCTTAAATTATTACACGTAATTTTACATTAAAAATTAAAACTGAAATATGAAAAAATACAAGCGAATAATTACATTGTAAAATATTTTAAGCTTAAAAAACTTTGGCATGTATCATTAACCGACAAATGTTTTCTAAAATCATACTCCTGAGATAAAAAATGTCCCCACCACAGGGACCTACACATCTTTAAAGACCTAGTAAACATGATTTCAAGCCTAGAAAATATATTTTAAGCATTTTTCTGTACAAGTCGAACATGAACTAAATATTTGGCATATAGAATTGATTAGATGGTTTTGTTGAAAAGTTTAAAATCATGTCTCTTGGGTCAAAAATGGCTGCACCCTTTAATTATACCCCCACCACAAAATGTGGGGGGGGGGGGGGCTATAATGGATTCGCTTTGTCGCGTCGGTCGGTCGGTCCATCTCCATTTTCGTGTCCGCTCTATAACTCCTATACCACTTAAAGGATTTTATTCAAACTTGGTCCACATGTTCACCTCAGCAAGGGGATGTGCAGAACCCATGTTGCCCATGTGTCAGCTCAAGGTCAAGGTCACAATTGAAGGTCAAATATCAAACACAAAATCAAATATTACACAGTATGTCGTATCCGCTCTGTAAGTCCTACAGTAATTGAAAGATTTTCTTCAAACTTGGCTCAAATGTTTACCTCAACAAGGGGATGTGCAAAACCCATGTTGCCCATGTGTCAGCTTAAGGTCAAGGTCACAATTGAAGGTCAAATATCAAACAATCAAATATTAGACAGTATGTCGTGTCCGCTCTGTAAGTCCTACAGTAATTGAAGCATTTTCTTCAAACTTGGCTCAAATGTTCACCTCAACAAGGGGATGTGCAGAACCCATGTTGCCCATGTGTCAGCTCAAGGTCAAGGTCACAATTGATGGTCAAATATCAAACAATCAAATATTAGACAGTATGTCGTGTCCACTCTGTAAGTCCTGTCACTAATTGAAGGATTTTCTTCAAACTTGGCTCAAATGTTCACCTCAACAAGGGGATGTGCAGAACCCATGTTGCCCATGTGTCAGCTTAAGGTAAAGGTCACAATTGAAGGTTACATATCAAACAATAAAATATTACACAATATGTTGTGTCTGCTCTGTAAGTCCGACACTAATTGAAGGATTTTCTTCAAACTTGGCTCAAATGTTCACCTCAGCCAGATTATGTGCAGAACCCATGTCGCCCTTTTGCCGGATTAATGTCAAGGTCACACTTGAAGGTCAAAATTGACTTAGAAAATGATCTTAAATTTTAACATATATCTGAATATTTCTGAATCTAGGAAAGGTATTTGCTTAAAACTTAAAATATATATGAAGTGTCACAATTAAGATATGCTGGTCAAGTTTCATAACTCTGTATTTTATTTTAACAAAGTTATGCCCCTTTTTTATCTTCAAATTTACATACAATCACATATTAGATAATATGTCGTGTCTGCTCTATAAATCCTATACTAATGGAAGAATTTTCTTCAAACTTTACTCAAATGTTCACCTAAACAAGGTTATGTGCAGAATCCATGTCACCTTTGTGCAGGCTTAAGGGCAAGGTCACACTTGAAGGTCAAAAATTGACTTAGAAAATGTTCTTAAATTTTAACATGTGCTTGAATATTTCTGAAACTAAGCACAGGTATTTGCTTGAAACTTTAAAGATATATGAGGTGTCACAATTAAGATATGCAGGTCAAGTTTCATACTCTGTTTTGCATTTTGACAAAATTATGCCCCTTAAGTCTTTAAATTTACAGACAATATGTTTTGTCCGCTCTATAAATTCTATACTAATGGAAGGATTTTTCTTCAAACTTTAATCACCTCTATTGGGCGATGTGCAGAACCCATCTTACCCTTGTGCCAACTTAAGGTCAGGGCCACACTTGAAGGTCAAAAATTGACTTTAGTATATTGGGAAAATGAAAGGTTATTTGTAACTGTTTCCAACATGATTTGATAATAGATATTTATACTATTACCTGTACAATTAGTCTTTTTTTTCACCAGAGATAATTTCTTGTTATGTATTTGTGCAACTTAAGTTATTTCCTTAACCACCTTTCCAAGTCGTCTTCTGTCAAGAACAATAGTGGGGGTATGAATCACATTCAGCGATAGTTCTAGTTCATTTAGTTAACACAGAATTATAAAGTAAAATTATGTCCTAAAAAATCTTCTCTAAAAATACAAACATAAGATTCCTTTTGTTAATATACTTTGCGAAACATTTAGCCAATTTATTTCATGTGTTGCCTTGCCTTGTGGCCTCTACAAAATATATATAAATCTTGTCCTTCAGAGTTATAATGGCACCTTAGACGTGCCTGGGGTCACTTTGTTTCCATTGAGAAAACAGGATGGCTTTCGGACCGAGGGTTTTATCCGGTTTTCTCAGCAGTCCGGTTTT